CAGAGCCGTTGTTTACTGACGAGCTGCGCAAAACCACGTTCATATTGGCGCGATTTTTTGCGCAGCTCATCAGTGAACAACGGCTCTGTGTAGTTAATGCTGCTCAATGTGAAAGCACGCAGGTGATGGAGATTTACCGCTGATTACAGAACCGGCTTTACTGATAAGATGCGCGTTAAATATCGCATGCGATTTATCGTGCAGCCCTACTATTAATGCATTTCATTGTTTGGTTTTGCAGCATGTTGGGTTATGGCTATGTTGAGTCGCCACTTGGTGCCCAATATAAAATCTGGTTCCTGAAAAACAACCAGTGTCTCCGTGTTAAATTGACTGCAGATAAATGTGTTATGAAACCAGACGGCCTCCAAAAAATAAATAAGTCAGTTTAGGAACAGGCTGATCTAATATTTTGGGCTTTCCATTTGCGATTTACAGGCAATGTCAGTATGTAGCTCCAGGAAATATTGAGATTCAGTAATATAATCTATTTAAAACGCTTCCAATAATAATTATTAATACAAAAAATAAGATAGCATTATATAGTGAAAGCAGAAGAAGACTCTTCCAGATGTTTCTCTCAGGGCTGACGTGAGGAGACATTTAAAGATGGATGACATGCATTCATGTCTGTCAAAGAGGCTGTGAGTTATTAGAGCATGCCCGCCCGGTGGCCATCTCAGTTCATGCACACCTGAGTTTGAGTGCCAAGGGCCACCTGGGGAACAGGTGCAACTAAACTTGCATCTCACACCTGAATAAGCGCGCCCTGTGCGTGCGTGTGTGTATACACAATCATTAACGCATAAAGCTGATTGTCCTAATTGTGTAATAGTGCATGATAATGCATTCATATTTTGTAAAGGATATTTCCTGCAATTTTGGGGATTCATTTGAAGCATTCAAAGTGCTTAATTAGCATTAAATGGACAGTTCATCTAAAATTGAAAATTATATAATTTACTTACCTTCATGTCATTCCAAACCTGTGTGACTTTTTTTCTGATATTTTGGAAAAAATAAATAAATAAATAAAAATAATAATAATAATAAATGTTAATGATAATAATAATTAATGCGATAAAAGTCAATGGCTTCCATGTTTTTTTTTGGACTCCAATGACTTTCGAAATATCTTCTAGAAGAAGGTAAGCCACTTTAAAGGAATAATTCACCCGGAAATTAACATTTGCTGTTAATTTACTCACCCTCATGCCATCCAAGATGTAGGTTTTTTTTTTTTTTTCATTAGAAAGCTAAAAATGATTTTAGCTGAACTCAGTGTCCTTGGTGATTCATAATGTGGAAGTAAACGGGCACTATCACTTTCAGAGTCAAAAAAGCAGATACAAAAAAACAAATTAATTTTTATCATGCAGCCATGAAATGACATAATTTACAGCAGAGAGTGAGGACGCATTTGTAAAAGTTAGCATGGTTTTAGGAAAATATTTATACTTAAATTGTATTGTTCATCAAAATGGTACTTACTTTTGCTTATCCTGGATGATTGTAGTGATGGTGCTGCTGTAAACAACAATCTGAGATGCTGAAAATGTTCTGCTGCAGCTTTTTTGGAACTATTTTTGTTGGTGAAAAGAACAACTGCTTGTTTGGTGAACTGTTGAAAATTAATATCACATTAGCTCATGCAGCAAACTGCACTATTGCTTTTGTGAAATTACTGAATCACTATCCATTTTCCATGCAAACATTTTTTTTGTAGGCAGCAGTAGCTGTCAGACTTTGTTCCGTGTTTTGTGTGTCTTGCTCCCCATGTGCCTTCCTGTGTGTGCTCCAGCGTCCGGTATTGAATGTTTATGTCTACTCCTCGTGCTACGTGTGATTCCCCATGAAGATTAATAAATTCCTTGGTTGTTGTACTCTTGGTCTCCTCGTTCCTTGCTCCGTGTTCCCGCACCGTAGGCCGCCCTAGCTCGCCTCGATCTCCCCTTCTACGAGTACGCCAGGGAGTTCTGCAAGCTCGCGGCGGTGACGGCGTTAGAGGACGCCGTCCTCAATAAGCTGTTCTGGCTCGGGGCCAACTACCATCGCTCCGTGGACCTCCCCGCCCGTGAAGATTATTAAATTCCTTGGTTTCTATACTCTTGGTCTCCTCGTTCCTTGCTCCGTGTTCCCGCACCGTAGCAGATCGTGACAGAATACTGGACCGAAACAAAAGTAAGCAGTGCCCCTTCTCCTCGTTTTTGTTTTTCCCGCCTTTTTGAAAGTTTTTTGGTTCCTGGTTTTTCCCCCCCGCGGCTATGGAAATTGCCGCTCGCGTCGCCGCCCTAGCTCGCCTCGATCTCCCCTTCTACGAGTACGCCAGGGAGTTCTGCAAGCTC